CGTGATCTTCGTTTCGAGCTGCTGCAACCGTTGTACAAGACACTGGACCTGTTCAAGCAATTCCCGATTCGCGTTCAGTAATTGATGTGTACGAGACTAGAAAGTAAATACGGTAAATATCAATATGAAGTCAGCTTTGACCAGAAATTAGGCTAACTTGAGCTTCTATCCTAGCCGTAGTTTCACTCGTTAGTTGATCCCTGAGAAGCTGCACTTGGCACCCGGCGACCTGCGCTGATTGCTGGGCTTGGTCTAGTTGAGAGCGTATCAACTGCTGATTGTACTAAACTGGCAGAATGGTACTACTCAATACAAGACATAATTACACAAACAAACCAACCTGATCTAATGACCGGGTAAGCGTTGCAGCGCTCTCTGGATTGTTCAGATCTACCGGTGGAATGTTCAACTGCAATGTTGCATAAGGTGAAACCAAAACAGGCGACGAAAGCCCATAGGCATCGATGCAGAACTCGAAACTAATTGCTGTACCTGAAATATCAGAATGGTCTTTCTCAACAGCTGAAACCTGAATAACTCAAAAAAGATGAGCAACACCTTACCGGGTAGTACATAGAGTGACCCTCCAACGATGTTGAAGGTGGTACGGCAGGGAACGCAGGGACTGAACCTACTGGTCCTGCGCTCCACGTTCGCGAAAGGGGTAACGTCGATGAGGATGTGTAGGCGGAGGGATTCTGTAACAAATTCTCGATTATTGTGGCGACTCAATCTCAAAAAGGAGTAGAAATTCGCCTACTTGTTGCAGTTGCTGCTGCTGCTGTTGGTACTGCTGAGCGCTTTCGGGCACAGATGGTAGTGACGAGCCTGGATAGGTCCCCGTGGGAAACGGTACCCCTGGTGGTATGAATTTCACGGGAATCGGAATCCCTGCCGATTGCTGCGCTGGCGGCATTGATGCTGCTGCTGCTGTCGAGCTGAAAATGTTGTACTCAAACACAAGATTCACGCATGCTATACAATCTTCGTATCGAAAATTTATCAACAGTTAAAGGAATCTTCCACGGACCATGGACCAGTGGGCGGGACCGGAAGTGGTTTTGCGACGAAATGCATGGTAGGTACGGATCCACGTTCATGGGAAGGTTTGAAGTGAATCCTGTTCACGTTCGTGCGTTCGACACGTGGATCCGTACCTACCATGCATTTCGTCACAAAAACTTCCGGTCCCGCCCACTGGTCCATGGTCCGTGGAAGATTCCTTTAAGTAGAACGTGTGTTGCATGGAAAGTCAGCCAACTTTCTTAGGCGCTTGAAATTTCAGAAGGCTGGAGAAGCTGTAATTGTAACTGTGAACTAGGATTCTAAAATAAGGTCGAAGGTGGAAGAAGGGGAATTTTACTTGACGGAAAGATGACCCCTAGGGGAACGGACCCGATACACAATTCAGCGGAAGAGGATATGCCCTGGCGACCGTTACCCTAGCCTTGTCCCGCGGCGTAATACGAAGTTATTACGCCATCTAGTGGCTAGCTACACACCGCAGGTGTCTAGCCGTAATCAGAGGAAGCGTTAGCGTTCAAAAGAGCAGCATTGATGAAAAACACACCAATGCGGAACGACACGGAAGGGGTTCATTTCTCAGGTTCTCTTGCCGCTTCTTACAGTTTTTTTTTTCATCCCGACCCCAATGGACTTCTCTTGCGGTCCTTTGTAACACTCAAGTACTCATTAGTACACGTCAGATGTGAGTCTTCCTGATTTGAACGTCATCGTCTCCTCAACACCTGAGCATCACAATTCCTACCACCATCACATCGTGCGAAAACAAATAGGTACGAATGCATTTTCGGCCCACGATCGACAACCTCTCGTGCGATGTTGATGACTGGAGCGAAAAGCACGGGATAAGGGATGAAAACGAGGATGAGGGATAACCTTGAAAACCACAGACTTAGCCTTTTGCTTCACTCATCAATCACATGACTTCATCATCAATCATACAATCAGCACATTAGGTGTGTAAAATGTGGGTGGCGGCGTGGGTGGTTAATGAAAATAATTGGAAGGTCTCATAAATACATTAACTACTATCAAGTTAGGAATAGAATTAAACAGGGATGTAGAGTTTGTAGCCGAAATTAAAATCTGAACTCACGCTTTGGGGGGTTGCAGTTGAGACATTTGTTGTTGCGATGATTGTTGCTGTTGTTGTTGTTGCTGCTGCTGCTGTTGTTGTTGTGGCTGTTGTTGGTTGTTGTTGTTGTTGTTGCGACGACGGTTGTTGTTGCGCAGACTGTTGTTGAGAAGTTTGCTGCTGCTGAAGAAGTGGATTGTTCGGATTGACAGACGTCGACATTTCCGCTTTTGGCGGTTGGTCGGCCACCCCCTGTGTCGTCGTGTCAATAGCCGTTGCCAACGGACGAACTTGCTGACGATGCCTTCCGCGGTTGAAACTGAAATTGATCAACCTGATTTTTGTTGGATTTTAAAATCTGAAGGCCAGTCAAGGCCCATAGAGCGATGTCTGCGTAGTTACCGTTAACCGTTAGAACCAACCGAAAACCCTTTCCCGTGAAGAATTGGATGTTCTTCCTTGCTGCTCTAACAGCCCACCCTAGCAAAAAAAAAGCAAAAATGTTTGGTTATACGGTAATAAGGCTAATCGAGATAATAAATGAGACATACGAACATTTGCGTGTTCCAGTAATCGGGTATACAAAAATTGAGGTAAGCAACTTCGTATACTTAAAGGCAGTGGTCACGATAATCTGGGTGTTCACGTCATGGAGGGAAATAAATAGTGAAAAGGGTGAAATATTGCGAAATAAGACTATAAGTGGCGCTCTGAGAACCAGTCACATTATCTGAGATGACAGTATGGTCAAAATCGGTCGGGGATTGGTCAAAGGCTCGCCGAGGATTTTTGCCTGATAGGTCACGCTCTCCCGCGCGGACATTCACTTTCGCCATGCGCAAGCCGTCTGTGCTCTCCGCGCGTACATTTACCCTCGACACTATTCCTCACACCGTACAGAATCGGTGGTCGAGGATTTCCTCGACCGTCATTCACCCTGGGTATGCAAAGCGGCATCGGCGATAACCCTCTTAGAAAATTAAAACACCTCCGATGAATGACGCTTTTGATAGACTGTTTCTTCATTCGCATTTTTCTGTGGCATTTACGCTCGGTTCAGAAGGCCCGCCACCTCGGCCGACAACCCCGCCAAGTTCAAAATTAATGGAATAATAAGGTGCCATTCTTGAAACTTCTCGGGCATTAAGTCTTGGTTTTCCTTGTTCACAGCAGCATTTTTTGCACCTCTATTTTAGTACTGCTCAACATTGAACTCTAATTAACGCTCCCTTTAGAGCAATACCATGGTTCAAAGCTACTAAAGGCCGCTGTAACGCTGCTCGTTGGCCAAGAAATCGCTGTTCGGTGAAGAACGCTCCGAATTGATTAATCCATCTCACGGATGTTCAAAAACTAGACTTAATTGAGCACTTGCTCTATCTGATGGATTTTGTGCTAGGAAATTCCTGGCCATGTCAGGGTTATCTCAAAACACGAGCATGCACGTAACGTAATAACTTCGCCATTACAGCCCGCGCGCGCCGTCAGACTAGCGCGTCGCTGTAATAAAACTGCCCTTATTCGCACAGCATGGCGGATCTCTTCACTCTTATCCTCGCTTGCGATTCTAACAAATGACGCGTATTAAACTTGAGAGCGAACGAAAACGCTCGATAATAGGCCGACAATCAGAGGGCTGCTGCTCGACCGCTGCCACCATGCGATGGATGTGCAAGACGGCGCTGGCCACGAGTCGTTTTCACACCTTGACGTCTAGCTCCGCATACACAGTCATTATTTTTCTCACTTACGTCACACTACGATGCGTGCGACCCAACTGACAAGTTCGTATCGCCGCCACTAGTGCATTCGGAGCTGAACAGCTAGTGCAAGACCCAGCACAAGTGAAGCTAAGGGCGGTAGCTATAAATAGCCCTTCTGATAGTCACTCAGACCAGGGCAGTGCTCCAGTCTTCGCATTAGATCGACCAGCACCGTCCACCTGGGCTATACGGTGATCGGACCTCAGAAGCTTGGGCTTACAGCTAAGCCTAAATCTACGCATAAAGGCAAGGTACGGTATTTCTGGTCGAAATCAACCCTTTCCGCGGGAAAAATGCAGTGGTACACAATCGGGGACATGAAAATGTCGGGAAGATTTGGTAAGCCCGAAGAGATAAGGCCCTAGGATGCAGCATTGGCCCCTACACCATTTACCCATCCATTACTCAGTGCTATTTCGCTTCGCCGCTGCAGGAGAGGGGTACTTTATTTCCACCTTGCCGACATATCTTCCCGTTTTTTTTATTATTGACGTTACCCTTCAAATCTCCTTTATCACCTACAAGCGCAATAACACATCAGTTTGATGCCGGACGACGCCTTTAAGTTCAACTTGGACTTAAGCTCAGGCTCAAACTTAGGCTTAGGCTTGTTACGAGACAACTTGAGGCGAGCTCATCTGGTCGGAAGGTTCAAAATTTCACAGAAATGAAAAATTAATAAGCAATGGAAGACAAATTAGTCGCAGTTGAAAAACGACACAGAAGAGAAACGTCTTTCAAGTTTAGTGGAGGATGAGAGATGAACCTGATGAAATATGATGAAAGAAGTTTTACAAAGTACAAAGTTACTTCGAAAATAATAAAAAACGGACCACCTGCGGAGATACAACGGCAATCTCAGGCCCTTTTTTTCACAGCTGAACGAAAACGAAACTCTTCACTGAGCAACACAAGCGCAAACCCCCTGACAACCTCGCTCACAGACGGGCAATATCGAATGTCGTATCGATTTTCTGGGATATAGGATTTTGCAATGGGCTGAATCCAGCACGGCGACAAAATTATGAATAATTCGAATTCAGAGTGAAATCTCAAAATGAAGTGCGATTCAACAAGCTTGCAGCTCGTTCCACTAAATACCGTCACAATATTACCCATTTTCAAGTGAACACACTAGTATGGTCGAAACACATTTTCCCAGCCGGGGAGCTTTTCTAAGAACCCACAATGCCATTTGGGTTATGTAGACCATATTCTACTGGAAAAAGATATCTTGGTACTTTGACAATCAGTCACAAATTGAGCCATGTTTCACCATGCATGGCGCGATCTATTTCGAACTTTCTCGCTCTTTTTTCCATCCAATAATAGCGCCAAGAACGTGTAATTTCTCTGATTTGGCCCTGCTCTGATCGCGTGGAAAATGGGCTTATGAATTTTCAGTAAAAGAAGCAGTAAAACAATTGGGCAAAGTAAAAATAAATGCCGAACGTTGATCGGTGACAAAAGGTCGTCTCGGTAGGACAGTAGTACTGCTGTAGGACTACGTACATAGCCCGCAGATGCTTAGCATTCAAATCAGAAACTCAGAAAAACACGACTTTTATAAGGATGTAACTACAATTCAGGATTGAGGCAAAACATTGTTGAAAGCATTGATTCATTTCAGGACAACTTATTATTACAGTAACCCAAACTGACGGTTAACCGAAATCGTCAATCAATGGAAGTATGTGAATTGAGGTCCTAGCACTCTAGAACGAGCGTGCTAAAGTGTACTGACTTTAACACCTAGTAGCAACTTTTCAACATTCCCATAGTAAGGTAGTATAAAGTAAAACGCTCCCAATTCTTGGGTGTTCCGCTTACTGTTCCGATTTCCGACACAAGCGGGTAGCATAAAATCTCACTTGTCTTTGGTAGCACGATTTTCAAATTCTCACGCTTATCGCCTCCTCTCCCACTTTAATGGTGACTATGAAACCCAGCTTCCAGGTCCTGGGTAATATAACCGCTTTACATTGTTATTCGTATATGATTGCTGCCTTGACCTGTTTAATGAGCTATTTTATAGCCGTCAAGGAACAGAGGACCTACAGATCCAGTTTTCACGCTATTGATGGTAGATAAGCGCTTCGGGGTCTCCTTTAGATAGCGCTTGAACTTGCATAAGCGCTATAAATCCTATGCACGGCAACACGAGCATGCACAATGGGATGAGTTATTGACGTTTACGAATGTTACACTAAAATTTGCTGCAGCTCTATAACCGCAGGTCGCCATGATGAACTTGGTTTAAAGTGAAGTGTTGAATTCAGATGAATTGCTCATTATGTAAAAGCTGTATCGATTGAACCCTTTCAAGAAATTCGTCTGCCAGCGCGATAAAAAGCGACAGCGCGCATAACCCTTGATAAATGGGGCCAAAAAATTAGACAAAATTATCTTTGGTCCATCACCATCCAATAAGCCCAATAACACAGAAACGAACACAATGAATAATTATTAGTATGAAAAATAATAATCCATCAGAAAAATAACTCACCAAAGACATCCGTCGACCATATAACGGTCCTCCAGTCGAAGGTTCGGCAGGACTTTGACTCCTACTGCTCTCCTCAGCAGCTCCTCGCTCTTCAATGACGTCTAAAGGAATACCCGTATCGTCCTCGCTAGCGAGAGAAGCTAAACCAGCAATTTAGCGAAACAAAAATCAATAATCGATTGGTATACCGACGCCTATAGACGACGATCAAGGTGACGTTTTATTGTGTAACTGTGTCCAATTAACAAGTAATCGTTGTCACCTTTGCTTTTGCCAGCTTCGTCCTCATGTTTCTCCAGCATTTGCTCTTGTGCCACTTTGTGGCATACCTCAAACGCTTGTCCTATCGTACGGACCACCCGCATCGCTTGGCTCTGAACGAAATTTTGATCAGTTAGGAAATTACTGTAGAACCCAGATTTTTTCTTCTACGTCAAGCTCTTGTTGAGCGCACTAAAGCCTGGCTCTGAAGTTATTTCGGGACACATTGTGACTTTGTGAACTGCCATGTCCCACCTACTGCCTTTAAGTTTGACGAGTAATAAATGTAGGATAAAGTGTTGAGAGTTATTTACAACGCTAATCAGGAAACTAGAGCTGACAAGCTCTGAGATTCCTAGCCAGGAACTTTTTCAAGGGAGCCATCATGGACCAAGACGATCATAAAAATTTTCCATAAGGAAAAATATATAAATCGTTCAGTGGCGAGATGCAATAAATTTGATGAGATCTTCAATAACATCGCAATAAACCGTAGTTGTCTCGAGGGGAGATTGCTGATGATAGCAGTAGGCAGTTTAATCCAATAAAACGAGCACGGACCCACAACAGCGCCCAGTTCACCATGCGAAATAAACCAGCGCTGAGCTGAGTGAGCTGTACATCCAAATATCACATGGTAATGTTTTACGCAACACAATTGTTGCGTAATACCATATAAAATTACATGATAGCGCATGATACTTCATGATATCAATGATGAATGAAAGGAAGCGAAAAGAAAGAGCATGCAAAGGTTTCGACAGTGGAGGCCGGCAACTATTTAAGCAATTTTCGGGAAATGGAAATTTGTAACAAAAATCAAAATTGAATGTAAAGCATATATTTTGATCAGTAATGATAAAAGTATAGAGAAGCGGGTCTGAATAAAACTGCTTGCTCACAGTAAGCTGAGTATGAGAGGCCCTCGGAGGTGATTTAATGACACAGTACCGTGTACCTCCGATGGCAAGACTCCTTTGTTCACAGGAGCAATATCTGCGATTCTAATTCGATTAATGTGTTAGTCCACTAATTCACGGTGGTTCAAGGCAGAAGATCGTGGCAAAGGAGTTAGGAAAGCCGAAAAAGAATTGCAGCTGACAGCGGGCGGTCAAGTAATCCATGTAAGTAAGTAATGCAGTACCTCAAGCACTGGGTCGTCGTCACGGCTACTACTTTGCTGTTCGGGTGACCATGTGACAAATTTCGTTTTAATCGGCTTCCGACCCGGTTTCGCCATCAGCCGAAGGTAGTAGAAGCGTTTCTCCTCGCTCATATCTTCGTCCTCGTCCGGATCGAATCTGATCATGGTGGTCGTGATGTCGTGATGGCAATCGTATCATACAGCACTAGAAATACGCATTCCGTGGTCAGGCCGACGACGATTCAGGCACAGGCGCGTTCTTCGTGACGTCGATCAATCGGATGCTATTGATCCCGTCGCGAATACACGGTAACAAGTCGGATGTGGTGATGATGGCGGTGATGACGACGGTTGCTCGATTGGTGGTCAATCGATACCGCTCACGTAATCGATCGATGTTCGATTCAATACGCGGAATCGCAGTAATTGTTGGCAATCAAGGGAAGCTCGACTGCTGGCGCATGTAGTATAGGAGGATTTCGTGCGACGATGTCTCTCTCTAGCGGCAGCTGACGGCAGGGACGCAGAGATGCGAACCAACCGACTGTGGAGCATGATGCTCAGAGAGGTGGGAGAGGTTCAAGACGCTCACCGGCACGTCGAATCGTGAGAGCATCACCGACAACGACCACGGCTCAGCATATCCACTCATACACACATGTATACATGCACTCCCTACATTGGTCTAAGGATTTCTGTCAACCATGAGGTTAGGCAATTCAGCGTTTTGTAGTGATGTCTGGAAGCTCTCGCACATGCATGCTATCAAAGCATCTCTGCTTTCTCTATATCCCTTAAAAGGCTTAATCTTTATGCTGCAATAGCATGTGCTTCTCCATCTACACTCTCACCCCTTGGTTGACAGAAGTCTTGTAACCCTATTTGTCGCGTTCTACCACAGCCCACAGGCGGTATGTGAACGCGCGTCCGTCTTCAGGATACAAAATCCCTCTCGCAAACCCCAAAGGGAATACCTCGCCCTACAAGGGCAAGCATACACGCGACTAGCCAGCGCCCTTCCCCCCCCCCTTCCACAGAACACCCTTTCAAGACTTATGACTACCTGGAGAAATTACTAAATGGGCCCTCTAGCCTAACTATCGCGCTTGTCCTATAATGGCTGTGGGCTGCTCACTCGTCTCAAGCGCTCACCTCAGTTCATCGCCATTGAGTAGGGTGCGCGTCCTTTTTTTTTTAATTGACGTATTTTTACCAAATAAATGTATACCAACGAGCGGTGAGCATGTTCAAGAAGGGAAAAGAAAAATTTATTGCTTCTTGAGTCGGGGAATCTACTACTCTCCTTTCACCAGACAAATAAGGAGGCCAATCGATCGAATTGAGAATAAGAAGCTCCAACTCCCCCTCCCCCAGCTCCTTCCACGTTCCTTAACTCGTTTATTTGTCCGATTAGTTGGGATGAGTAGGACCGTACTGAAGCCTTGTAAGTGGCGGTTGTATCAGCAAAATAGAACCAGGGGTCGGATTCGTGACGTTACCAGATTGGGTATGGGAGACTAGAGATTCGGTGGATAGCCTTCATAGGCTTTCGAATCACTCTCCAACCTCGCCCTTACTTCTTCACGCCTACCCATCAGCCAGGCCGTTTGGAAGCTCGAGTGCAAGGTAAGAAATCACTGCGGGTATAAACCCGAAGGAATCAGTTTGTATGTTCTCTACTAGTTGTAGAGTTCGATGGGTTTCCAGCAGCAACACTACCAACAGCTCGAGCACTGGCTGAGCTCAGCGCGTTTCTGAAAGACCCAATCAACCAAGTGGAACCAGCCAGGAGAAAAAAAAACGTTTCTTTCCAGGAAAATCACAACATTAACTTCATGGCACCACACAATTTCCCCGTCTATGCATCTTTGGGGTTGCGCAGTTTTTGTGTGCTTTCTTGCGCAAATAATAAATTGAGACCGAACTCTGCAAAGGCGACTGGTAGGTAGGGTCTCTCGACGCCATTTCCGAGCTTTACAATTTCGACTTGTGTTAGCCCTAAAACCTAACTCACGAGAACAGTGTGTTGCCAGCACCCAACTCCGGGTTGGGTGCCAAATGCTTTTGAACCGCGATTTTTCAAAAATGCGTAGTCTTAAGTGCGAAAGAACGATGGAGAAAGGGTTTCAGCGTTGATCAAACCCGTTTTCGGATGTGCCGTGCAGTCTACTCCTCTTCAGAGTTGTAGTGGCATTTGAATGTGAACTCATCCCATACAATGACTTACAGATATCACCCAGTATCACTATGGTTATTCCCTCTCTGGTACCATTGTTCTAATGAAAACGCGATTCGTTTTTTTTTTTTCGTTTTTCCAGGAGGGCACAGGGCTCGCTCGCCCAGTTCGAGATCCGTGCTGAGATTTGATCCCCGGACCACGCGAGTGATACATAGCGCACTTGCCGCTGCACCATCTGCATTCCAGATGAATCTCGGCATACTTGTGCGAAATAGCTACGTCTAATTCGATACACTGAACGTGATGTCGTTACACTTTCACGTTCAACACTGCTCCCACATATGTCGCGGGCCACATGCGAACCAGGCTTTTTCACTCATTCGCGCACACAGTGTAACGCGAAATGACGTAAGCGCAGCGCTCTTAACCTCATTGCAAAGTGTCTGCAGAAAAATACATCAGCAAAATGTTCACATTCAATAGTAATGAGCTGTCATAATTTGATGTCCTTCACTATGTACCCCTCTTGTTACTTGGGCTACGATGTACTGCCACCGAAGAAGTACTGCATCGTTGCCCGTGAAGTCCTTGTTGGCAACCTCAGCACCGCGACCGGGGCTGTCTTCCTTGACGCGCCTATATATCTTTGGATAGCGCGCGTTCTACTCGGGCGCCCACGATCGCACTCCTGTCACCTATTTCCCTGCGCGCCAAATGTTTTCTCCCCATTAATCATCGACGGCCGCGAATAAGAAGGAATCGCTACAATTGCTGCCGCCGATGCGATAAGCAGACCAGTGGAGCTCAGACTTTGGGTGCAGCTGGAGCGCACGTAGGTCAGGGTCAACCGTCCGTTGACAAAGTCCAACGAGGGGGTGGGGGTCGTATTTGGGGGTGGAAAGAGGGGGGTCGTATTTCGCGAGGTAGCGTTAATGTTACAGTAAGGGAAGGGATGATTTTTTATGGAACGGAGAGCGGATTAGGTTGTAGGCTGGGATTTTGGGTTGAGTGTTGAGTGTGAAAATTTTGCCGTTTCACATTACGTTCGATATATATTCCACCATCTATATATACCCCCTCCCGCTCGATGGTAATTTTGGAGGGAAAAGTGGGCGGAGTTGGGCTGTGTCGACTGGTCTCAGAATCAAATACTATAGAATCGCCCCCTGGCAGGCGAGGGTGGTGGAGGATGGTCGTGAAGGGTTAACCCTGAGGGGGGGGTATCGAGGCCCTCCAGAAGGGGGAGGGGGTCGTAAAATTTTCGAAATTGGTCCAACGTGACGGTTGACCCTGCAGGATCATCGCACTGAAGGTTATCTGCGTCTAGACAAGTCTGCATCTCCGCCTCTTGCAATCCTCTAATCGCACATTGTGAAGATTGGCACGGTGTCAAGTATCACTGAGCGAGGTGAAAGATATTCATACTCCGCCCCCCACTCTCCTCACCCCCCCCCCCCCCCGAAACAGCCTAAGTGCGTCCGCTGAACCTTCCACAGTCCCTTCGATTTATGCGTTAAACACCCTGTGTCTCCCCGCTCTTCAAGAGCACGCCCACCATGGTAAGCACGACTCTCGTCCAGAGGAAATCGATCTTGGCTCGTCACTTTCCCATAGATCGTTCAGACCAGTGGTAGGACTGGTGCTGACAACAAAGATACTGCCCACTCATAGTCGCGAAATGAGCTTATAGAAGAAGAACGATCTTCCTCATGATGACTTGACTCTGCTAGCGAGCTCGCCATTCCCGTGACAGGATGGCCCAGCTTATTTAACACAAACTCATACAATTCGCGCACCACTATTATATACGAATGCTGTAGGGTTACGATGACCCATAGTATATGGAATAGACTGCGCAACATTACGGAACATCTCTTGTCACACGAATAGACAATAAAATCGGTTACTTTGAAAGACGCGACAATGAGAGAATAGAGAAAACCTCTAGCGAAGGGACCCCTTCACCTCAATGAGCTGGTCTGAGCGATATCCCAAAAGTCACAAGCAGAGGAACGACGGAACTTCTCTACAACCCTCCAAGGGATTAGGCATGATTGTGCAATGGCAAATTGCAACCCAAGTCAATATTATTGTAATGAGAGAGCAGAGCCAAAAATAAAATTTCTCATAGGGCTAGAAGGCAGCCAGGAAATGATGAGCAAAATGAATGAGGACTAGCGAAGAAGCAATAGTCAAAGGAACAATGCTCATGGTGGGCGGGAAGTGAACCGAGGTGGGTGGAGCTTGAGTTTCCAGCTTCAGCCATCGCTTCGCGTCTATCTTAGGGAATATCCGTGGGATCGGTCTAGATTTTAACGTGCCAGGAAAGCGGCCAAGAGGACGCCCGAAGCAACGATGGCTTGATACGTTGCATGAGGACTTGAAATTAGTTGGCCTTCACCCCGATCAGGCACATAATCGGGAAAAGTGGCGTCGTAATACCAGGAAAGCGGACCCGCCAACAGGTGGGACAAACGCTAAAGAATAAGAAGAAGATAAGAGGCTCTTTTCTTCGAATGGGTAGTGAAGGATGTCCTCTCGCTTTAGTGTTTCTCAATGT